AGGGTGTGTGTGTGTGTGTGTGTGTGTGTGTGTGTGTGTGTGTGTGTGTTTTGGACTAAGAAGTTATTCTCTTTGATCGGTCTGACCCGTACCCCCTAAACCAAGGAAACCTGAACTGCACCGACTATCTGCACCTGGCCAATGCAAAGAGCGGTCGACTAAAGGGTAACATATTCTTGGCAGGGTAAGGTTTTAAAGAAAAAGTCTGGTTGCATGCAAAATAATGTAACGGAATGAAGAAGTCTGGGTTGCTCGAGCTGTTTTGATCTCAAGTTGTGCTGACACTATAGTATTAAGAATGGTAGTGTTGGGATAATTTGATTTCAGGTTATATTAATGCTGCAGTATTAAAAATAGTAGTAAAAGTTTACTTGTGCTTGTTTGCGATATAATTTGTCATTTATATTAATCCTTATTCAATGCTGGTCTTTAATTTTTCTTTTCCTATTCTGTCTGTGTTGCATTTATAGCCGTAAGTCATTAAAAGCCTATCTTAAGGAATAATCTAGACAAGACGTGATAAATCGATCCCAGAAGATTGATTGCTTACTGCCGGACCCGGAGGTATGTGCAGACCTACCCTCAATTTCTTTATACGGACACCACTTAACCTCATTACATCTGTGTTGGGTGGTGGGAAGTAGCGATCACCCAGAGCCCCATTTTGGCCCTGATGTGTGTTCCCGTCTTCCTATATCTCCGCACATGTAACACCAATGACTGTAGCGGGTTTATTCCTGATTTACTGGAGTCCTTATCCCAAACACCATAACATCTGCGAAGAAGGTTGGTCTTTGGGTAAAGGCATTGGACTCAGGAGATCTGTACAATAATATGCCAGGGCATCAGCAAAACTCAGGCATCCCTTTCCCTCAGGCTCAACACCTGCTAATGCATGCCCTGTTTCAGAGAAATGCTGCCAGCAGTAATACATGGGTATAGTTTTAAATGTTGCCGCAGTAGCCAGAGAGCTGGAATTGTTATGTCATTAATGACTGGTTCTGTTCTATTCTAACTAATTTACGATGCTGTGCCCCTCACCATGATACCCCATAGCGTCCTTTCCCACTGCTTTTTCTGTAAGGTCAGTCTCTGTAGGTTTCCTTTTATGCACAGAGCAGTCCCCATCATGCCTCCACCCCATTATTGATCATGTGTCACCAGGGCCGACTCTACCATTTTTGCTGCCCCAAGGAAAAGGAAAAAAAAAAAACCCTCGGACTGTGCCACCCCAAGAATAGCCGGAATGTTGCCCCTGAGCATGTGTCGCCCCAGGCACGGGCTTCCTCCGCTGGTGCCTGGAGCCGGCCCTGTGTGTCACTTACATTACGGTAGCCCTTAGAGGCTCCAACCAAGCCCCAGGGTGTTGTTCAGTTCTGTATAGGTTCTTAACCCCTTTTGTCGCTGTAATATCTGAACACCTCCAGGTCATGCATTAAGTGACCTAACATCTGTCACTTGTGGTTTGTTCGTTCTCTTATATCTTAGGGGATAACTGAGTGTGCAATATAGTTTGTTTTTTTTAACGGAAATGCAGTTTTTGTGTTCTAGATTCTGTACAGGCCTGCTAAACCCAGGGTTGTGAGTTCAGTCCTTGAGGGGGCCATTTGAGGATTTAGTTGGGGATTGCTCCTGCTTTGCGCAGGGGGTTGGACTAGATGACCTCCTGAGCTCCCTTCCAGCCCTGATAGTCTATGATTCTATGATAGGAAGAGACAGTCCCTGCCCCAAAGCAGTTACAATCTAAATAGACAAAACAAAGGGTGGGAGGGGAAACAAAGGTACGGAAAGGTGAAGTGACTTGCCCAAGGTCACACAGCAGGTCGGTGGCCAAGCTAGAAGTAGGATCCAGGTCTTCTGCATCCCACCTATTGCCTTATCCTGTAGGCCATGCTGCTTTTTCATGTGACTCAATCAACGTGACTTAGCCTTGACCTGGAGAAATCACCTCCGAGTCGCCGTTGGCCATTCATCCTTTGCTAGGGCAACCACCATCATTAGAGCACGATCACCATCATTTTTCCCCCTCTGCATATGCCACCAAAGAGTCATCCAATGCTGACAGCTTTTGGTCACTATCGACCCAGGAGAGCTTCAAACCAGCAATCTAGGGGTGAAGGGCAACGTGTTTCCCTGGCATCAGACGTTTTCATGGACGTCTGTCCTCCTACCTGCTCCCAATCCAGGCGTAAACGTTTTGACTGACAGATGTTGCTAAATGCCTTCAGGTTCTTTTGTGCTGGGAAATGCGACATGCAGTGTGGGAAGGTCACGCTGTTTTCTTTGCAACTGTCAACTGCAGTTTGGCTGTACGAGGCGCTTGGTATTCGACGGGGCAGTACATAATCCTATGCAGTGGGGAGGTTTTTGTGTGTTTATTATTGTGGTTATTATTATTTTAAGAATAATATTATGGTAGCTGACAGTTAATCCGAAATTGTGGATACCTGACATTGAAATGAGAAAACAAACCAGCACTTAAAATGAGTGACATGCCAAACTCAGCCTTCAGGACTCATTTGACCTTGTAACCAGACCTCCTAGACTGACTGACAGCCTTTTATGGCCAAATTAGAGCTTAGCTGACCTTGTTTATCCTGGGATCCACCTGAGAGACTGCAGACATTCCCAGGTATATTAATTCGCAAGCTGAAAATGTTTGCTCAGGTATTACCGACAGAGTTAATTCAGACCTCAGATCCTCGGTGTGGCACCAGCTACTGTTCTAAGGACCAATGTTTGGAGGGGCCAATGTCAGTTGTTTTGGACTCTCTTTAGAAATTGGTGTTGTTTTAAAGGAGAGTTGGACAAAGTTTAGATTCAGTTCTAACCCCGTTGGTTGGGCCCCTGGCTTTTGTTAGCGATGGTTCTGCGCTAGGGTATAGGCTCTGAACAGGGTGGCCCCTCTGCCCCTTCTGTCATTAAAGCAAGGAGAGCGTGTGTTCAACAGTTACGATTCTTTTATTCTTGCCGTGTAAAACATCTAACACACACGCAAGCTAGACTCTGCCTGCCACTGCGTCCTGCAGCAATCTGCCCTGCTCAGCAGCCACTGAGCCAACATACAGGGTGGCCTTTTAGCTCATCAGCTACTTCCCACATCCTTGCACAGTTACACCAGCTACTCCCCATTTGGGTGGGGGGGAAAGTGCCACTTCTTGGGCCCTGGCGCTATCTCATTGGTAGGTCTCTTCCCTGCTAGTGCCCTACGGCGCTAGATGCCTGGAAAGAGACAGGGGGTGGGGTAGGGTGAATCATAGAATCTCAGGGTTGGAAGGGACCGTAGGAGGTCATCTAGTCCAGCCCCCTGCTCAAAGCAGGGCCAATCCCCAGACAGATTTTTTGCCCCAGATCCCTAAATGGCCCCCTCAAGGCTTGAACTCACAACGCTGGGGTTGAGTATCAGAGGGGTAGCCATGTTAGTCTGGATCTGTAAAAAGCAACGAGGCCTGTGGTACTTTAAAGACTAACTCTGGGTTTAGCAGGCCAATGCTCAAACCACTGAGCTATCCTTCCCCCCTGTGAAGGCAAGGCCCAGAGACAGTACGCTAGAGGATGTAAGCGTGGTGCAAGTGTGTGCTACCAGAGCTCCCCTGTAGGAATTCTGGCGGAGTCAGCCAGGATTTCTCTGAGGAGTCCGGCTGCTGTGAAGCACCCTCTGTCCCATCAGTGCCATCCTTGTATTAATGTGACTCTAAAAGCTTAACTCCGCCTATGACAGAGCCCCTGTTTATGGCAAATCCATATTCCCCCCCTGCCCACAGAGCAAGCTGCCTAAAGACCATACGATCCCCTCATTTCCTTGCCGTGCGTCTAGAATCTCATATTCGCTGCCTGCGGGAGTCCTGCATGGACAGGGAGAAGCAGGGCGTCAAGATCTGCCATGTGGATCCAAGAGCAGCATTTTGTCCTGTAACTCAGCTGCCGAGGTTCGCACCAGAACGGCAGCCTGTGCCCAGCAACCGGGAAGTGATTAGGGGCTTTTGCCTGGATCCACGGTGAGTGGAGTTGAATTCTAGCCCAGTGTGTCTTAAGCAGCTGCCTCTCTCTATACAGAGATCCCTTGTGTTTTCGACTCCAGACGCCTCAGCCAACTTGGCTTGCAGAATTTCTGACTATTTTATTTTGGGGGGAAGCAGCAAGAGAGAGAAGGAGCCTTTACTGAGACCCCTGGACACAGACAGATCCTGTGATTCTCTCTGGCTCCCTAGCTAGGTGCCATCTCCCTGGGCCTCTCGAAGTCCTGGCCTGGATTTAGCACTCACGGAAGAGGCTGAGTAGCTGCTTAGCTCTTCAGGAAGAGTGTTGGCCAACATTTTGGGCCCTAACCATTTACACAGGATTTTATTCTGGCATGTGCTGCGGGATGTCTATCAGCAACTGACTCCGCTTCCACAAAGCTGCCTCTCCTACTTTAATGGACTCCACTGCCTTTTAATTCAAAACAATTTGGGCGTCCCAGGGATCTCTTGTTAACGGCTTTGTGCTAAACCCACCCGGCAGAGGTCACATCTGAAGATGGTTATTGCCATAAAAGCCACAAGGAAGTGATTATTACACTGCAGGCTTAGAGGAGGGAACAATCAACCGATACAGAATGAGAAGGGAGGGTGGGAAATGTAGCCGCAGCTGTTGTAGTCAAACTGTAAACCACACACGCGGCTTTCCCCGAGGGTCATTAAAGCTCTGACTACGGACCAGCCCCTTCTTCATTTGTTTTTAACTGTTTGCAGTCATCTATCGGCCCCTCCCCTTTCTTTCGAAAAGCCAAGTTTCCGTCTCTGAAACCCTAACTGCTATTCCTGATCTCCCAGTGTGGCGGTTTCTATAAAGTGAAGGAAGGGCCGTATTAGGTGTGTTTGGCAGCAGAGTCTCAGCAACCTGGATCCAGCACGGGGAAGGATCTGACACAAGGACGCTTCTTGCTGGTTGGCTTTGAATTTTTAAGGCCCGGCTTGACAAAGCCCCGGCTGGGATGATTTAGTTGGGGATTGGTCCTGCTTTGAGCAGGGGGTTGGACTAGATGACCTCCTGAGGTCCCTTCCAACCCTGAGATTCCAAGAATTGGGCTCCTGGGAGCTGGAATCAGGATGAGGGAGAAGGATGGCTTTGCGATTAAGATACAGGACTAGAGCGCTGGGTTCTCTGAATATTTTAGTTTTGAGGGAAGCAGTTTCGGAGTGGAAGGGAAGAGAAGGAGCCTTTACTGAGACCCCTGGACACAGACAGATCCTGTGGTTCCCTCTGGCTCCCTAGCTAGCTGGCACCTCACTGGGCCTCTCCAAGTCCTGGATTTAGCACTTGTGGAAGAGGCTGAGTAGCTGCGTAGCATCTTCAGGAAGAGTGTTGGCCAACACTGTGGGACCTACTAACCATTTCCACTGGGTCTTATTCTGGCATGTGCAGTTAGTGCTGAATACCGCTGGGTGTCTATCAGCAACTGATTCCGCTTCCATAATGCCGCCTTTAATGGACTCACTGCCTTCTAAGTCAAAACAATTTTGGCATCCCAGAGATCCTGGTTTCAGCAGAGGCTGCCGCAGTGTGACAGCCCTCACAGAGAGAACACGTTTCCTGATATGGAACCTACATTTCCCTTTGTTAATTTCATCCGACTTCTCCTTCTACTTCTTCTAGATTCCACCTTACAGAGACTCTAGATCATTTGAAAGAGCTCAGATAACTGTGTTCTCCCTTTATCTTTCATTTGCACCCTGCCTCTGCACAGAGCCAAAAGAGAAGGCCAAAATGCCCAGATGCTGCAAAAGAGTTATGGGTCTGTTATGGGATCCTGTGCAGAAGCAGGAAGTGCCAGGAATCTCCTGAAGAAGCATTTCCTTGGAGTTCTCTAAGTCTGGAGAAACATCTCCATCTGTAGCTTTGCCAGTTCACCTGAAACGTGAGATCCCCACTAGGTTTCTTCACCTTGCTAGTTGAGTTCTCAGCCCATTCATAAGTCCAATTATTTGTTGTCCATGAGTCCTCTAGCTTTTGGGAGCCCAAAACATCTCTTTGAAGAGCTCGGTACCCATCTCTGAATGTGCGCTATGCTCCGGTAAATAAGGAGACTTCAACGGGAGGCAGTTTGTTCTGGATCCCAAAATTCAAGTGCATCTCAGTGTTAGGAGCTTTATGATATGGCAAATAAGGACTGGAGAACTGGACCGTTGATGAACAGTAAGAAGATAAAAATGGCCATACTGGGTCAGACCAATGGTCCATCTATCCTGTCTTGTGATACTGGCCAGTTCCAGATGCTCCAGAGGAAATGAACAGAACACGGAAATTTTGAGTGATCCATACCCTATTATCCAGTCCCAGATTCTGGCAGCTGGAGGTTTAGGGATACCCTAGAGCATGAGGCTCCATCCTTGCCCATCTTGGCTAATAGCCATTGATGGACCTTTCCTCCACGCAATTATCTAATTCTTTTTTTAACCCAGGTGAACTTTTGGCCTTCACAACATCCCCCGGCAACAAGTTCCAGAGGTTGATTGTGAGTTATGTGAAGAAGTACTATACTTCTGTTTTTAACCTGCTGCCTATTAATTTCATGGGATGATCCCTAGGTCTTGTGTTATGACAAGGAGCAAATAACACTTTTTCTCCACACTATTCATAATTGTATAGGCCTCTGTTGTATCTCCCCTTACATTGAGTTCTGCCCTTCTGCTCGTGGGGCTTCAACACACCAGGAACTGAACTGTGAACCTCCAGAGCTCAGAGCATGAGCTGAAGCTCTCTGTAGCTAGGGTTGTAACTGACTCAGCTACTCTGTGGACTGGATACAGGAGGTGACCTATAACTTTCCCTCACCAGTGTGTTCTATACTTCCTCTGATCAAAGGAATAAGTAGGTAAAGAGTGGGAGAAAGGTAGTATTATCATCCCCTGGAAATTAATCGAAGACCCATTGTTATGGTTGTTTAATATTGCACTGGACAAAGTCTATGGGACTAGACTATGGGGAACAATTTTTCTTTAGCTGGGTGGCAGAGAAGACCAACCCACAGATGTTTTTCTTCTCTAATGTCCATGAACTTCCAGTGCCCGAAATGAGACAATACAATGGGAAAACTACCCTTAAAAAAAGGGCTAGGGTTTGGGTTTTCCAGTGGACCTATGTGGGTGAGATGGTCAGCTCCCATTGGCTTTTCACCTTAACTCTGCTAAAACCTCGTAAAAAAACCCAGCCTAGAGCTGTTAAATGACTAAATCCATTCTCTCTCTTTGCATCGAATCAGACATTTCAGGAA